TGCAGAGTCAATAGCTACAGACCTCCAAACTTCGTGTGGACTTCAGATTGGCAAAGCAACAACTTTTGTTGGCTGCCTACCTTTAGGCGATCCTTAAAAACCCATCTCTTCAGGGAAGCCTATCTCATCTCAGCATAACTGCCTCTTACTTCTTCCAATAACTCAATCTAAACAATTATTACTTTTTGTATCACTGGCCCCTCCTACTAGATTGTAAGCTCTCACGAGCAGGACCCTCCCAACCCTATTATACTGAAACTGTATTGTATTGTAAATTGTATTGTAACTGTACTGTCTCCTCCATTTTGTAAAGCGCTGCACAAATTGTTGGCTCTATATAAATCCTGTATAATATTAATAATAATAACAACACAACTACATCACCAAGTACAATGCAAAGCGCCGGATGCAGTGGTGTAAAGCATGCCGCCACTGAACTCTAGAGAAGTTGAGATGTGTTCTCTGGAGTGACGAATCACGCTTCTCTGTCTGGCAATCCGATGGACGTGTCTGGGTTTGACGGTTGCCAGGAGAACAGTAGTTGCCTGACTGCATTGTGCCAAGTGTAAAGTTTGGTGGAGGGAGGATTATGGTGTGAGGTTGTTTTGCAGGGGTTGGCTTGGCCCCTTAGGTTCAATGAACTGAACTCTTAAGGCATCAGCATACCAAGACATTTTGGACAATTTCTTGCTCTGAACTTTGTGGGAACAGTTTGGGGATGGCCCCTTCCTGTTCCAACATGACTGCACACCAGTGCACAAAGCAAGGTCCATAAAGACATAGATGAGCGAGTTTGGGGTGGAAGAACTTGACTGGCCTGCACAGAGTCCTGACCTCAACCCAAGAACACCTTTGGGATGAATTATAGCGGAGACTGCGAGCCAGGCCGTCTCATCCAACATCAGTACCTGACCTCACAAATGCGCTTCTAGAAGAATGGTCAAACATTTCCATGGACACACTCCTAAATCTTGTGGACAGCTTTCCCAGAAGAGTTGAAGCTGTTATAGCTGCAAAGGGTGGGCCAACTCAATATTGAACCCTACCCACTTTAATGGGTTGCCATTAAAGTTCATGTGCGTGTAAAGGCAGGCATCCCAATTCTTTTGGCAATATAGTGTATGTAATTTTCAATAAAAAGTGTCCAGTTAGCTAATTATATTTATTTGCCACAGGGAACAACTCTATTTTTGATATCCAAGTGAATTTGGCATGCTTTTTAAATGCTATACTACATTTCTTTTTCTTTTTGATGTAATGTGTTAAAAAATAAAAATGTAACAAGAAACACAAATAAAGCTGAAAGACTTGTGACCATCTGGTATGATTTACATCTCTAGAAATTTCTTATCTCTAAAGATAGATGTGTGATGTTAGAAAGTGCATATCAGTTACACAGATACTGGGCATGATGAGATCTGCAACATTGAGCATTTGGTTAAATATGTTTTCTGCATGATATTAGAGCTACAGAAAGTATTGGGACACCCTCATTCTTCAGGTATGTTGCTGTACCCACATGTCCCCAAAGGTCACCAAACTAAATGAAAAAATAAAAAAAAGCTCAAACAGCACTCAGATATTTAACAACTGAATTGGAGTCTACGAATTTGACTCACTGGATATCAACCGTATAGTATAAACAACCAAAAAAAGCAAACCTCTTTATGTGGCTACCATTCTTTATTAATAACTTATACAATTATAATTATATGTAATTCTAAACATGCTGGATCCCGTCATCCCGACTTAGATGACGGGATCCGCCCAGCTGCGTGAGTGATAGCTGGCTCTGCCTATCTGGCAGATCGGAGCGGGGAGAGGGGAATCCAGCCCCCCCCCCCCCTGCCGCG